CCCCCACAGGGTGCCCCTGGGGACACGGTCATAAGCCTTCTCCAAATCCACAAAGCACATGTGGATTGGTTGGGCAAACTCCCATGCCCCCTCCATCACCCTTGCAAGGGTATAGAGCTGGTCCACAGTTCCATGGCCAGGACGAAAACCACATTGCTCCTCCTCTATCTGAGATTCAACTATCGATCGGACCCTCCTCTCCAGTACCTTGGCGTAGACCTTTCCAGGGAGGCTGAGGAGTGTGATCCCCCTATAGTTGGAACACACCCTCAGGTCACCCTTCTTAAAGATGGGGACCACCACCCCGGTCTGCCACTCCCTAGGAACTGCCCCCGATGACCACGCAATGTTGTAGAGACGTGTCAACCATGACAGCCCTACAACATCCATAGCCTTGAGATACCCAGGACGAACCTCATCCGCCCCCGGGGCTCCGCCGCTGTGTAGTTGTTTGACTACCTCAGCAACTTCTGCCCCCGAGATCGGACAGTCCATCCCCAGGCCTCCCAGCTCTGGTTCCTCCTCGGAATGCGCATTGGTGGGATTGAGGAGCTCCTCAAAGTATTCCTTCCACCGTCCGACTATAGCCTCAGTTGACGTCAGCAGCTCCCCATCCCCACTGTAAACAGTGTGAGCGAGTTGCTGCCTTCCTCTCCTGAGGCGCCGGACAGTTTGCCAGAACCTCTTTGGAGCCGATCGATAGTCTTTCTCCATGGCCTCACCAAACTCCTCCCACGCCCGAGATTTTGCCTCGGCAACTGCCACTGCTGCACCCCGCTTGGCTATCCGGTACCTGTCGGCTGCCTCCGGAGACCCACAGACCAGCCACGCCCTGTAGGCCTCCTTCTTCAGCCTGACGGCTCCCCGAACCTCTGGTGTCCACCAGCGGGTACGGGGGTTGCCACCACGACTGGCACCGGCCACCTTACGGCCACAGCTAGCAACAGCCGCCTCGACAATCGCAGAGTGGAACAAGGCCCACTCGGACTCAATGTCTCCCACTGCTCTCGGGACGTGGTCAAAGCTCTGCCGGAGGTGGGAGTTGAAGACCGTCTTGACAGGTTCTTCTGCCAGGCGTTCCCAGCAGACCCTCACTATGCGTTTGGGTCTGCCAGGTCTACGCGGCATGTTCCCTTGCCATCTGATCCAACTCACCACCAGGTGGTGATCAGTTGACAGCTCCGCCCCTCTCTTCACTCGGGTGTCCAAAACATACGGCCGCAGGTCAGATGATACGACTACAAAATCTATCATCGACCTGTGACCTAGGCTGCCCTGGTACCAAGTGTACCGGTGGGCATCCTTATGTTCGAACATGGTGTTCGTTATGGCCAAACTGCGGCTTGCACAGAAGTCCAATAACAAAACACCGCTCATGTTCTGATCAAGTGGGCCGTTCCTCCCAATCACACCCCTCCAGGTCAAGCTGTCATTGCCCACGTGAGCATTGAAGTCCCCCAGCAGGACAATGGAGTCCTCTGATGGAGCACTATCTAGCACTCGTCCCAGGGACTCCAAAAAGGGTGGGTACTCTGGACTGATATTTGGCCCATAAGCACAAACAACAGTCAGGACCCGTTCCCCGACCCGAAGGCGCAAGGAAGCTACCCTCTTGTCCCCCGGGGTAAACCCCAACACACAGGCAGAGAGTCTCGGGGCTAACAAAAAGCCAACCCCAGCCCTCCGCCTCTCACCCGGAGCAACTCCAGCAAAGTAGAGTGTCCAACCCCTCTCCAGGTCTCGGGTTCCAGAGCCAATGCAATGTGTCGAGGTGAGTCCGACTATATCTAGCCGGTACCGCTCAACCTCTGCCACAAGCTCCGGCTCCTTCCCCGCCAGCGAGGTGACGTTCCATGTCCCAAAAACTAGTTTTCTTGTCCGGGGATTGGACCGCCAAGGCTCCCGCCTTGGTCTGCCACCCGATTCACATTGCACCGGACCCTTCATGTTCCTCCTGCGGGTGGTGGGTCCACAGTTGGACGAGCCCATGTATCCGGTTCGGGCTGGGCCCGGCCGGGCCCCATGGGCGAAAGCCCGGCCACCAGGCGCTCGCTCACGGGCCCCAACCCCAGGCCTGGCTCCAGGGTGGGACCCCGGTAACCCTCCGGGCCGGGTACTCCGACTCTTCGTTTTAACCGCCATGAAAGATCCTTCGAACCGTTCTTTGTCTCACCCTTCACCTAAGACCAATTTGTCATGGGAGACCCTACCAGGGGCACTAAGTGCCCCAGACAACATAGCTCCTAGGATCATTAGGGCACTCAAACTCCTCCACCACAATAAGGTGACGGTTCAAGGAGCACATGTAGCTGCAAATCATTCAGGAGTTGGAGGCCTTAAATATAGATCTAAAATGAATTGTCGGACTTCTTCAAGTGACACTGACAAAATTCATTACATGTGCTTGTATTCTTCATTTGCTAATAAGATGTATTTTTATCTAAATTACAGGGCAATCGAGGCTTTGAAAAATGGAACCCAGGCAGTGATTTCAGATGGTGAAATCAAGGTAATGTTTAATTATAATAAATTAAGATTCTAAAATTGGACATAGGATAATGCAATCCCTTGTTTTCTGTGGTAATGTTGCTTATTTTTAACTCTTGTCTCTACTCAGACTGTCTGCAGCGGTGGAGTGAAGTCTGGCCTCATGTATCTGTGGCACAATCCAGGTGTCTCGCTTAAATTAAAGCAAAGACTAAAGCCACTGATGTTCCACTTTGCAGATGCACAGGTAAATGTATACTGACTTACAATAAGCTGCATCACATTTATTTATGTGGATGCGTGGTCAGTGGGCCACCTGGGTCCGTTGTCTAATGCTGAGAGGAACGTTTTGTTCATTTTTATGTTAACGTGTTTTATAGGTTGACGAGCTGACAGAGCGGATTGGTTCATGCTCAGGAATAGATAAACTAATAAAGAAGAGAGAGTTCCAGTTTCTGGACTTGGTGTTTGATGTCCTTGTTCCAGAGGTACAATGCAGTCTTCAGCAGTGATTGGTATAAAAGTTACTTTTCGAAAACATTTGACAGTGTATGAAGTAATCCTTAACAGAGTTTGGTGGCAGGAGAATCTCCTCTCTGCTTTTTGCGGATGATGTGGTCCTCCTAGCTTCACCCAGCTCTGACCTTCAGCTCTTGCTGGGTAGGTTCGCGGCCGAGTGTGAAGCGGCTGGGATGAGGATCAGCACCTCCAAATCCATGGTTCTCGACCGGAAAAGGGTGGCTTGCCAACTCCGGGTCGGGGGAGAGGTCCTACCTCATGTGGAGGAGTTTAAGTATCTCGGGGTCTTGTTCACGAGTGAGGGTAGGAGGGATCGGGAGATCGACAGGTGGATGGGTTCGGCATCTGCAGTGATGCGGACGCTGAGCCGATCTGTCGTGGTGAAGAGGGAGCTGAGCCAGAAAGCCAGGCTCTCGATTTACCGGTCGATCTACGTCCCAATCCTCACCTATGGTCATGAGCTTTAGGTAATGACCGAAAGAACGAGATCGTGGATACAAGCGGCCGAAATGAGTTTCCTCCGTAGGGTGGCCGGGCTCAGCCTTAGAGATAGGGTGAGGAGCTCGGACATTCGGGAGGGACTCGGAGTAGAACCGCTGCTCCTCTGGATCGAAAGGAGCTAGTTGAGGTGGTTTGGGCATCTGGTGAGGATGCCTCCTGGACGCCTCCCCGGGGAGGTGTTTCGGGCAGGTCCTGGCGGCAGGAGGCCCCCGGGTTGACCCAGGACACGTTGGAGAGGTTACATCTCCAATCTGGTCCGGGAACGCCTTGGGGTCCTGCCGGAGGAACTGGTGGAGGTGGCCGGGGAGAGGACGGTCTGGAGCTCCTTAGTTGGGATGCTGCCCCCGCGACCTGGACCCGGATAAGCGGAGGAAGACGACAACGACGACGATGAAGTATCCTGCATGTTTTTCAGGTAACAATAAAAGTGTTGGAAAAATGGGAGGGGATGAATCGATATGCAGCTGAGAAAGCCATGCTTCAGCAAATTCATTTGTACCCAAAATAAAATGGTTGTGAAATTAAGTGTTTCTTTGGTTTTATTGTCTTTCACTCAAAATAAATACCAACTAGCTAAATAGTTATCAGCTGTAGTAGTTAATTTCTGTTGCAATGAGCTGCTGTGATACACAATAGGACAGTGTTATGGATATTTAATAACTAATTTTTGTTGCTGGTGAGAGAGGAGTGTTGCTGAAATGTTTTTCACTGCTTCTGGGAGTCCTGTACTTTAGCAATTGGTGTAGGTCAAAAGTTCATCTTGGGCTTAACAATAAAACTGAATATTTAGCAAGTACTATTTTGTTTGCACATTTTGAAAAGTGTTAGTTTAATGTGTTCTCATTTTTTCCATATGTTTTTTTAATTCACTTTACAGCCTTTTATTGTGTGTGTGTGTATATACATATATGTGTGTGTGTATATGTATATATATATGTATGTGCTACTGTCATAAAAATTCCCTGTCTGAAGGACAAAGGGATTTAATATTCAATTTTCATGCAACGCAGGTAACAACATTACTTAAGTTTGCCAGTCCAGATCTGAAGAGAAAAAAAAATCCGAAATAAAAAGCTTTTTCCGGTAAGTTTTGTTTTTTAAAAAACTACTTCCAGTGAAAGTAATGACTTCTGGTTAAGGTAATGACCCACCGTGTAATTTTTCTCTTAAATATGTACAAATCGAAGAGAAAAACGACACGGTATGGTTTTGACAAATTCAAACTACTTTTGTGCTTTGTCAATAAAGCGTATTCAAGGAAAAAAAACTTCTTCCGGCAAAGGGAATGACTTACGAAAAAAAAAAACTACTTCCGGCAAAGGTAATGACTTCCGGCGAAGGTAATGACACTTATTTTTCCGGATACGTCATTTCCTGGCACGGCAAAGACGCCAGCTGATGTCTGCAACCAGATGCTCTTGGTGAGTTGAAGCCTCAGAAACCTATAAGCAAAATCACGGAGGGTGTATATTTTTACAGTCATTGTTGCATACCTGTTCCTCATGCAGCACCACCTGTCCATCCAGAGGACTACCCAGAGGAGCGATGGTCACAAAGGGCTGCCAGACTCCACTGATGGTTCTGGGAAAGACGTCATACAGTTCCAGACACTGAATACTGTCCCCCAACTCCTTCATCGAGTAGAGGCACACTGGGTTACATGTGGCCACAAGAACAGAGTCTACCAAAGAGACAAAGACACCACATTCACAGCAAAGAACAGTATTTAAATGACATCATATTTAATACAACCAGAGATTTAAACACCTAAAATCTCACAAATAAAAAGAACATTTTCATTTGATCTAATCAATAAGACAAAGTAAACTGGTCTAGACCAAAATTACCATTAACTACTTAATTGGTCCAGTGTCCTCAGAGCTGCTGTGATTTACCAAAAGGCTTCAGATTTGTATCATTTGTCCAAAGGACGTTCTTCCACAAGCTCTGAGTCTGGATTCTGGAGAATTCCAGTTGTCTCAAACTGAGATGGATGGTGTGATCTGACCCTAAGGAACACTGACCTCAGAGTTAACCTCTAATCTCGGTGGAAGTTATTCTGGACTCTTAGATTTCATATTATGAGTTTTTCCCGTTTTTATATCAATTATCCTCTAGTGTCCTTGTCCAGAGAGGTTGTCTACAGTCCTGTGGACACATTCACAGGTGGGCCATGTCCAAAAAGCAGCATGGGACACTGAGGCTAAATGGGCCTGATTCCACTCTGCAGATATTGAGGCAGTTGTTGCTAGCTGTGGACACCAGAGGTTGGGGTGTGACTGAAATAGGTCTAAAAGGCATGGCCTGTCTGTGAGTCTGGTCTGCACTGCTGGCAGTAAATCAGACCAGTTCCTGGTGAGGGGATGACTCTGAAAGGGCTGCGGACACTAAACCGGTCTGCTGTGGTAAAGAGGGAACACTGCCAGAAAGTAAAGCTCTCAGGGGCAGCAGTAGTTCAGGAGGTGGAGGGGTTGAGGATTGTGGGACTGATCCCAACTCCAGCCAGGGTATTCTGTTGCCATGTCCTTAAGCAAGACACTTCCCTTGTCTTGTGCGACTTGTGCCAGAGCATCGGTACTGACACGCGATCGTTCATGTCGGTTCATTTCCTTTAATGTTTTCTGTCTCTTATTTGCGCCTGATGTGTTTCGCTGTGGAGCGGGGCGCATCACCTTGTCATCCGGTGACGCACCGATCACTGATGCAGCCGGCAAGCAGCGAGCACTCCGCTGTTTTTGCGGTCGGTAGATCTTTTAGAACTGCAGTTCAAAGGTAACTCATAAGGTGAATATATATGAACCCAGGTAGCAGTTTCTCTTTAGGATTGAGAGGAGATGCAGGAAGATAACAAACAGACAGGACAGAAAAATAGTCAAATAAAAACAAGTTAGTTTTTGTACCTGGTGGTTGCAACAAACAGACACCATTGAAGGTAATCAGAAGTGAGGAACAGAAAATTAAATAATTATTTTAATGTTTAGAGCAGCAGGAACTCTGAGAGGCTGCAGGCGCATCAGTGAGTTTGCGGCCGCTGCGCAGGGGGAGGGGGGAGAGGACTGAAGCAGAAACTACCGTTGTTAAAAGAAATGTGTTTAACTTTGAAAATGTGGGCGCAATATTAATTGTCAAAAACTCCAGCGAACCATTAGTTCATTTTGCTCAAATAGAAATAGAGGCCTGCCTCTAATACTGGCCCTCCTTTCAATAAAGGCCTGGAGCTTGATGAGCTTGAGCCAAATGCAGGCCCGGGCCTGTATTAGAAGATTTACGGTATATGTATTCCTGCAACTTTCATTCTTTAACCCTCCCACTGTCTCCATGGGTGACCCCACCAGGAAAGCTGACCATTGAGCAAGGTTGATGGTTTATTCCTTGAGGTCCATGTGGCAGGGGTGAGGAGTGAGCACCACCTCACCCCTCCCACATGGACCTCAAGGAATAAACCATCAACCCTGCTCAATGGTCAGCTTTCCTGGTGGGGTCACCCATGGAGACAGTGGGAGGGTTAAGTCTAGATATCATGATAAATGACCTGCTTTGAGTCAGGGGTCAACACTTCACACACACACTGGTAGTGAGGTGTCACATTGTAACCAAAGCGCTGTTGGAGGTGACACTGTTTAGCACAGCAGGGGTGGCAGTGGGTAGAGGAATTAAGTCTTGTAGGGTTGCAGGACCAACACCAGCTCAGTCTGTTTGCAGTTGTCGTGTCCTTGGGCGAGACACTTCATCCTCCTTGCCTGCTGTTGGTGGTCACAGGGACCGGTGGCGCCAGTGTACGGCAGCCTGCCTTCTGTCAGTGTAGCCCAGGGCAGCTGTGGCTACAATGTAACTCGTCATCACCAGCACCTTCATCCGTAAAGCAAAGGCTCTCCTACAGGTACAGAAGGATGGGCAGAATAGCGTCCAGTATTCTGTTGAATGCAACAGAGCATCCCAACAAAAGCGGCGGATTGTCCATCCACTGACACTGGTCCCCTTTGTCACAAACGTTTTCAGTCCTTGACAGCAAGCAGAAGACTCGCTCTCTATAAGCCATTACTTCTTGACAGCATTTTTATTCACAAGCTTTTATTTTTAACTTTAACAAAATAGGAACAATTACTAATCCAAATACCAACACAAGAATTTCGGTTTCATTCCACACCTCCATCAATATTTACGTGTTTGCAAGATGAGGTAAATAATCTGTCGTCAACCAGATCACAGCAATGGTAGGCAGACCTGCCAGAAAAGGTCTATGCCCCCTGCTGTCCTGGAGAAGAACTACTTTGCAACACTGACACATCAACAGAGAGGTAGAAACCAGACATGAATGTAACATAGGGTACTGGTCCAGGTGAGTGTTTGGTACCGTTTGTGCAGATGACATCACAGATGATGTTAACGTCCTTCATAGGAATCTGCCAATGAGCTTTTTCCTCAGTGAAGCTCAACGCTCGGCTCTCCTGCCTTTCACAGGGAAACCTCTGAACACGCAAAAACACAGGACCCTGGAAGAACAGATCACACAGGTTTACTAACTCAGATGACCTGACCCTGTTGATGGTGAAGAACAGAAAGCACCTCACGCTGAATAGCATCAAGAAGAAATAAACTCAGTTGCATTTAATACTACAAAGTAGTGTTTCTTAATTATTTCCCATAACACTCCCCCCAACGCACAGAAATGTTTGAGTTTTGGAGTTATGTTTCCACATGTAGATGGCTTTGGTCCAAGGGCAGGTCTGTGAAAACATCTAGGTTCTGGTGAAGGTCAAGTCAGGGCTGGTGTCTGATCTGAGGGTGCTTGCCAGCCAAGGGTGGGTCTTGGCCAAAGACAGTTCATGTCAAAGGGAAAGTTTGGTCTCTGATCAGCTTACATCAGGGTTTCTCAACGGGGGCTGTAGCGCCCCCCCAGTGGGCGTTCAGACTATATAAGGGGGCGGTGAAAGTTTTTTGCCACTGAAGGGGGCGCTAAGATGCTAATGGTGGGCGCCAGCAATACAGGACATTCATAACAGACAATGGCTCAGAATAAAAAGAAGTGTTGACAGTACAATGTGGACTACCTTCGGTATGGATGTATTCCTTCACCACGAATCCACAACTCCCCATGTGCCTGCTTTGTGAACACGTTTTTTCAAACGAAGCAATGAAACCCTCCCGGCTTAAGGAGCACTTGATCCAGACAAAGCTCCAAAGGAACTGAACTATTTTCAGGTAATTAAAAGAGAGACACTAAGAGAGGTAGCATCAGCAGTATGTTTGCTCGAAGCTCGAATTTACTGGACCGAGGATTATTAGCTTCCTACATTATCTCGTTGCTAATAGCTAAAAACATTTTTTATGATACTTTTTTATGACATTTGTATTAAACAGTTTCAAACTCAAGGCTGAATAAAAAAAAATTAATTATGATTTTTGAATAAAAAAACTTTCCATTTCCCTTTCATTGGTGGGCAGTGAGGGATTTCAGCATGACATGGGGGGGGCGTTTAGCTGAAAATGGTTGAGAAACCCTGGCTTACATCTTTAAGCCATGGGTAAATGTGTTAGTGTGATGGAGGGTTGGGTGGTTTGTAGAATTCTTCAACCGCCGATTGCCAGTCCAATAAATGACAATCGTGCATGTGACGTCATGATGCACGGACTGATGAGTGAACACAGAAGAAGTCCAAACACTGATTTTTTTTAATGGAAGCGCAGCACATACGTTTGTTAGGGGAGAAATGTTGGTTTTTCTTGTTGTTTATTTTGTACTTGTAGTTTGGTAGAGGGACGTAAACTTGTTAAAAGGAAGCCTCGTCTGTTTCCTTTTTTATGTTTATGTATTTAGCAGACGCTTTTGTCCAAAGCGACTTACAAGTGATAATCGGCATGTTGCCCTTGAGGCTTGATGTGGTTTTATTTTTGCAGAGAGCCATGAAAACTCACCTTAGTCCACCCAGTTGGTTCTTTACAACACGTTTAAATCCACTGTGTCCACTGTGTTCACGCCTTTTAACAAGCTTCCTCCGCACCGTATTTTTCGCTGCAGGATGCAACGTTTACATCACTCTCAAGGCAATAAAAGTTAGGCTGATGTGTTCGTTTACTTTTTTGCTGCTGTGTGCTGGCACGGTGTAAAGGAAAGTGGGGGAGACCCGATGCTGCACACGGGGTCTCTGCAAGCCACAGAGTAGGAGCGAAAATGTAGCAGGCACGATCGGCCGCCGATTCTACTTCTAGTCGACGGACTGGGAATCAAAACTAGGAATCAAATTTGAAAAGTTCTGGGAAAAACAGAGATTCATTCCCAGTTCCAAACACTGCTTGATGTCCACCACAATCTGGAGATGCCTCTTGACCAAGTCCTCCAAACACACCCACATCACCCCGCTTCTCCTCCAGCTTCACTGGCTGCCAGTCAACTTCAGGGTTCATTTCAAGATCCTGGTTCTGGTCTATAGGGCCTTACATGGACAAGCACCATCTTACATTGGTGATCTTCTTAGTCCCTACACCCCCAGCAGGTCCCTGAGGTCCAGTGACCAAAGCCTACTGGTTGTGCAGCACCAGGCTAAAGACCAACGGTGACAGATCATTTGCTGCTGTGGCCCCCAGACTCTGGAACTCTCTCCCACTGAGCCTGAGATCAGTGGACTCAGTGGTCTCCTTTAAACTCACCTGTTCAGGCTTTGGTGGGACCTTCATCACCTCCCTCTCCTTATTCTGCTCTTCCCCAGGATTAAATGATTTCCTTCTTTCCTATTCACTCTCTTTCTTTGCATTTTTTAATCACAATTGTCTGTTTTTGCTCATTTTAAACATATTTTCAAACATTAAAAAAAATCTTTTTAATATATGTTAAATTTTTGTTTTTGTGAAGAAGCCTCGTGATTTTTATCTTGAGAGGCGCTTTAGAAAAGATCTTTTCTTTCTTTTCTTCTGCATAGAAGCCTTGAGAAGGAAGTTAAATGTGCTTGCATTATTAGGTTATTTTCTCAGCACAGGAAAGTTGTTGTACCTTTGTTCTGACATATCTGATCACTCCTGCGGTCTTCGTCAGAGCTAGCCGCTAACGGCGGCGTCACTTCCTTCTCCGTTTGTCTGAAGGCAGCAGAGGACGGTGTCGCCCTCTGCTGCCCGTGTCCTCCTTGCCAGATCAAGGAACAAGGAAGCCATAGAAATAAGGAGACATGGAAACATAATCAGGAACAGGGACGATGGGGTCTACACATTGGATAATAATTGGGCCTGTGTCATCGGCGAGGAGGACACCGTCCTCTGCTGCTCGCACATAAACGACCGCAGGAGTGGTCGAAACCGTCAGCAAAGAAGGTACAACAACCTTTCCTGTGCTGAAAAAAGAACCTAATGATACAATCAGGAGAAACACACAGCAGGAATACACACAACATAGTTAAATGTGCTGCTGAATGTACTTCTGTGTATTTTGTGTCTATACCTTGACGAGTAGAGGGCGTGTTTCTGTGGGGCAGAGTAGTTTGCAGCGAGCGTTTTTATCTTCTTTTAAGGACCAGTATCCTGTAAGCTTGACATCAGGCAACGGCAACCTAAAGACAATAAACCAGTAATTTAGTTCAAGTGTTTCCCCCAGAAAACTTGTCAGTGGTAGAGAAGGAGAGAATCTCCCGGAACTCTGCTTAGCTCTATTTTACCATCTCAGCTGATTCTGTTTACAAAAGCAAAACTTACTGCCCGTGTTCATTTTCATTTTCTATTTAGTTGCCGGCCGGAGCTCGGCGGGCGTCCACACATGATCATGAAACCACTCTCTGTCAAGGCGAATCTTCATTCACAAGTCCAGCGTTGTGGCATTTTCACTACCAAGTTTAGCAGCATGAAAGCTAAAAAACTGCCACATCGCTACGCCGCTTTTATAAGACACACCATGGCAGCAGCATCATGCTGATGTGCCAGCACCTAGTAGCACAACCCTAACATCACAAGCTCCTGGTTCTTACTCCTTAGCCAGCTGGACCGAAGTGGGCTTGGCTCCAAAGGGGATCCCGTGCTTGTGTAGAACCTCAGTCAGAACCTCCCGCATGTCCTTGTTGTATGAGTCAAAGTCAAAGACGTTCCTCACCACGTTGGCCAGACCCTCGCTGGGAAATCTCTAATGTGTTGAGGTAAAGCAGGAGTAAAGGACAAGGAACAGATGGGATGAAGGGAATAAAGAGAAAAGAACAAATGGATGATAATTCTTCACAAAGTCCTAAATAAAACTAGTGCTGTCATGAGATTTACTTCTTTCAGATATAATGAATGAACATTTTTATTTGAACATCTCTCAACATCATTTCAGCTAAAAACTAAGAAAACAAATCAAAACTCAGTCACACACAATCTCAAGGCACTAAATGAGTAAAAGTAAATAATATAATATGTTCAAACGGAGCAGGAAGAAGACTTAGCTTATAAAACTCCCTTTAATCAGCCAACACTAAACTCGAAAAGCGTTGCCTCTTTAACATCAGCTCCACATAGCATTCTCTATAGTTGCCTTCAACTATGAATGCCATGGATGGCATAACCACATATGTAAGCGTTCTTTTTCCCATTTACCCACCAGTAAGCACACACACATCAGTACATGAACATGAAAATGAACATTCTCCTTGACACATATATTCTACTTTCTATACATGCCTTAATATATACACTAATGCAGGGATGTCAAACTCAAATTCACACTGGGCTGAAATGAAAATCTGGGATGGAGTCATGGGCCAAACTTAATATTGTTTAAAAAAGTGACGGCAAATTTGCACATTTTCTTTATCAACATATATGCAATTTTGAACCTTTTACTTTGGAAACAAGCTTATTTTTGCATTAACACTGAATGTGGAATAACCAAATTACACACTAGCAAGTCAGTTTTAAATAAAACGCATCAGTGGTATTCATTACTTGTGGTATATTCAGCATTTTAAAAATCTATTCAGCATTTATGTTTTCTTGTTTATTCATGTTTTATTCTCCTTTTATCTCCTGTAATACGTGTCATCGCTGCTGTGACGTCTAGCTTTCCCCACTGAGGAACAATAAAGGGATTTTCTATTCTATTCATCTATCTGCAGCCTTTCCACTTCCTGTTTACTGTAGGTTAAATCTTTGCTCACGGGCGTGGCTTTCTGAGGGATGTTGGTAAATACTCAGAAACGTGTCAAATTCTGATTGGCCAAACTTGGCAAGAACTCATAACAAAGTAGTTTAATAAAACAAGAATTACTTCCCGATTAATTCAGTTTCCAAATTCCATTTTTGGTTCTTTTTTAAGCACGAATAAGGTTTTTCTTTACTTCACTGACGTTTTGTTTGCGGCTGCAAACATCTTCAGAACTGACGCTCAAAATCAAAGACAAACACAGCAAGAACTTACAAAGGATGAATTCAGTTTACAGCTGACCCCCGATTCGGCCAAATCGGGAAAGAAGCCTCTTTTGAAACAATCTCCTTTGACTTTAAGTCAAAACCTTTCTGCGACGCTGCAAGTGATTACAGACACAACCGCTTTTCAGACCTACTTCAACCCTCAGACATCCACTTTGGACACCTAACCTGCAAACCCCGGGTTGTATCTCATGGCCGGGGAAGCTGAACTCAGAGGAAGCTACTAATCTCTGAGCATTGTGGTTTCGACATCCAGTGACCTCACCACTCTGGCCGCAACCCTCCAGACCGCCAGGAGCAACTCATACCAGCGTATCGTAGACCTGCATACTGGTGTCTGATGAGGTTTTTATCAATAACTAACTCTAGTTTATAACAACAAATTCTTTTACACCCAGATTTCACAATTTCTCTCAGATACAAAGAACTGTTGCTACAACATCTCATTATTCATATATGTCATTTATAAATGATTAGTTTAGGAAAAAGATTTAAATTCATTTTATAAACTACATACTGACTCTGTCTGCATTAAAACGAAGTGTGTTTATGGTCCCTAAAGAGGCAAAGAACCCTAGAATCTTCTGATTAAACATTCAAAGAACAATCAGATTGATATTTCATATTTGTTTGGAATATCACATCTTATTGGTCATAATATGTTTTAATTGCTACACTTCTCAGCCTCTCACAAGAAGGGAAACCAGTTGCAGGTTTTGCTTTAGATGTCAGAACTATTGCAGCTTCCTCTAACTGGAATGAGGAGGCGTTAAAGGGAGCTTTCACCAAGGCCCTGAATGATAAGATCTAGGACCAGCTGGCGCTCTGCCCGGAACCTGCATCTTTAAATGATCTCATATCCCTGGCCATGCAGACTGATAAATGACACCGTGAAAGGAATCCAGGTACAGACCAACTAATCCCCTCTCCCAGTCTCTTGCTCCTCCTCAGGTTGCTGCCCAGTAGAGCCCTGCACTGAAGCCCTAGGCCCTCGGGTCGGCCCGGCCCGACGGCCCGAGGGCCGGGCTTCGGGCCAACGACTGTGTAATTACCTCGGACACGGGCCGGGCCGGGCGCCTTTATTTTTAATCGAAATCATTTAAAAAATTAAAACACTTAAACGCAGCAGTAGAGCCCTGCGCGGGACTGTTTTCTTCATCCCGCTCCGCTCCCGCTGAGTTTCTGACCATTACAGCCTGCAACCGCAACGTGTGTGTTGCACTCCCGCCCGCACCTGCAGCGTACATGTCTACTCCCGCCCGCAACCGCAAAACTCTGAGAAATTATTACCTCACAATAAAAGAGATGTATTGAGTTTGCGTCCTCAACATGTCATTTTATAGGTTATCCGCTTTCACCACAGCGCTGCGCTCCGTTTCAATCAGGCTGTACAGCAGGATTTCCCCTCGTAGCAATATTTTCTCTAACTCTGATTGCTTCATGCTATAGATCGTTGGAAAGATGCTTTCATGTACTTTTAGAAACCGTTAGAATTATTTGAATCTGATCAGCCATTCAAAAGTTATAAAACGGAGCATTTTGGATGACAAACTCGCACGTCTCTGAATCTGTGTTGTGGTTTGTTGCGCTCAAGACAGGGGATCCCGGTGGCTACCGTAATGTATTGTATGTGCACGGAAAGCCCCATTTTTAATCTTTTCAGCACTTTTGGAATTTTAATGATATTTTGAACTAGAGCAAGGATCGGCAACCCGCAGCTCTTCCATCCATCTGATGCGGCTCTTCCATCCATCTGATGCGGCTCTCTATGCTTGTAAAATAATGAATGGATATTTAAATAAAATGCTTTATATTTTACTAAATTAATTTTACATCTGTAAGTCAATTCTATGTGAAGATTGTCTGCGTAAACCTGAACAGTTCCAACCCGGTCTTACTGTGAGACCGGGTTGGGTCACGCTTGTGCGTAATCATATGCGCTTATGAGCTGAAGAGGATGTGAGATTCTGGGATTCTCCTCAGACGGCTCCTGGATGTGTCGCACATTGGAGACAGGAACAAGCGCTATTCAGCCAAAGTTTCATAATCAGGGAACATTTTCTAAGTGACATGTCTCTCTGAGTGACAGGGTTTGGAAAGCACTCGCTTCAGTGGGAGGAAGCTTCCCGCATGCGCTTCTGCGACGATCGGATCCTGCACATCTTTTAACACATTGGTCAGGATTGAAGCACTTTGTTTTCATTTAGTTGGTTAAAAAAAGTCGGGCTTGGGCTCGGGCCGGGCCAGAGAATCCTGAAAACCTTTTCGGGCCAGGGCGGGCTGGGGCTCCACCCCCTCGGGCCGGGCCGAACACGGGCTCAGATTTTAGGCCCGTGCAGGGCTCTACTGCCCAGGCCTCCACTGAGGAACCTATGGAGCTTAGTCGGACCCAGCTTAGACCGGAGGAGAAGCTACAGCATAGAAGGTCAGGTTTCTGCTTATATTGTAGAAAACCTGGACACTTTGTAGCTAGCTGCCTGTCTTTGTCAAAAGTCAAGGCCCATCAGTAGAGGTGAGACTACTGATGGGCGGATTCCCTGATAGTAAGACATCTCGTTGCTCTTTTCCCTGCACATTAGTCTTCAACCAACACACTCTGCACTGTGATGCTCTTGTTGCTTCAGGTTGTGAACAGAGCCTCATGGATGTTGACCTGGTAAAACAGCTAGAAGTCCCCACCATTCCACTCCCCACACCTCTCCCTGTGTCCTCATTGGACGGTAACTCCCTCACTACTATTACACACCGTGCTGCCCCTCTTACCCTCAGAGTATCAGGCAACCATATGGAAGTATTGTCATTTTTTGTCTTTCCCTCCCATCAGTCACCATTAGTTCTAGGTCATTCATGGCTATCCATCCATAACCCCCACATAAACTGGCAATCCAAGTCTAGAATCCTGGAGTCCCTGTTGTCAAGAGGGGTGCTTGAAATCAGCCCTCTCTTGCCGCAATGATGAGGCTAGAAGACTCAACTCAACTCAACTTTATTTGTAAATCACGCCTTACAGGCAAAAAGATGCCACTAAGGCGCTACACTGATCAAGTAAAAACATAAAACATTAAGTCCAGAAAATAAAAACATTGTATCACAAGATACAGATACAAATACCGTGAGTACACAGATCGCTATAAGTAAAACAATAAAACTAGTTAGAAAGATTAAAAGACAGATCATAAAAGTAGGTTTTTAGCCTTGCCTTAAAAACCGCAACAGAGGTGGAGGCCCTTATGCTGAGAGGAAGCTCGCTCCAAAGCTTAGGACCTGCCACAGCAAAGGCCCTATCACCACATGTCTTTAGGCGCGTTCTAGGGACCGAGAGGAGCATGAGGTTCTTTGAGCGGAGTGACCGTGCAGGGGTGTACGGTTGAAGCAGTGACACCAAGTAAGGAGGGTCCAAACCATTTAACATTTTAAAAACCAATAAGAGTATTTTAAAACAAATCCTTACATCAATGGGCAGCCAATGAAGCGCAGCGAGGACAGGAGTAATGTGGTCATACTTGCGCCTGCCCTCTAAAAATCTGGCAGCCGTATTCTGCACCATTTGTAACCCGGCTATTGAGCCCTTGCTCACACCGAATAAAACAGAGTTGCAGTAATCCAATCGCACCGTAATAAAAGCATGGACTACCTTCTCAAGATCATTACGTGACAAAAATGGTTTGATCTTTGCCAGCCGACAAAGGTGGAAAAAGGAGGAGGAGATCACTCCATTGA